ACCTGGGGATTGATTGATTGTTCATTTCCATGCACGCTATACTACTGCCTGCTAACCAACAGCGCAGACATGAGTCGCAATCACAAGGCTCGAGGTATTATTGTCGGTCCACACTGAGCTATGCGACTCGGCTCACTCCAGCAGGTTTTGATCTTGTTAGTCTATCTGCCAAGATGCCTCTCCATTACTTTTCAATTGGGTCGCTACGCCTTGCCGTTTTCCTATGATCATTCTCCTGCTCATCACATCCGTGAGCTTCGGGATCCGCCGTTGGTCCACTGAAACCATCCACTCTCTAATTCCACCCTCATCATCAGGGACTACCCCATCTGCTGGGCTGTATCTGTCCTCTTCGCCCCATTGATCGGACGCGACGCGACAAGACTTTTCACTTGATTACGGAGGGATAAACCTGGTTTCTTCCACTCAGTCGGCCGACCCCGAGAAACGAGTGGACACGGGACGGCTTAGCACCCAATCGCCAGCCTGGTGTTGGTCAGTTTCATCCAGTTCACCGTCTATCACAATTACCTACCATGTGACTATGAGTTCCCATCCTCATGGATCAAGGACGTAGAGGGTCGCCCTGGAAGGATGAGCGAAAAAGCGAACCACGGCGGCAACGGGACCAGATCTCCCTGTGGGCCGTGCTTCACTAAGGTAATTAAGGGTAGATGAGATTGAGCACGGTATTAGCCGGCTGGAGAACCCCGTAGATTCAACGTTCACTAGCTGTAATCGCTGTAGGGGCCACACTCATGACTGAGCGCTCACGTTGCAGCCATGCGCATGTGTTATGTATGTATGTATGTGCAGCTCGATGCAGACACAGTGCCTTTCACAGGCAAACTACGGAGTACTCTGGAGCATGTTGGCACAATGCCCACCTACCGTACGACCCCCAGACCATATTACCGCTCATATCTCGCTTGCTTACCCTCTCCGGCTGGCAGCAGGACGCCGAAGCCGCCGGCAAAACTCAAGCCAGCAACCGTGTTCCGTCTTTCTCCTCGGCCCCCGGTCGTCACACGCAGCAAGGCGATGTCATCACTCTCTGCAGGTTTGTGAAATGGCACAGCTCCAGGAATCATTAGCGCTGTCTACCCCAATTCCAAATTCCACCGCGTATCCGTGCCGCACCACCCAGTCCCAGGCCAGCCGCTGTTAGTGTGCTTCATGTGAGTGAATGTCAAGCTAGTTATGTGGCCAAGCAATGGTGAAATTGAAAAGAAAAAGAAAGAATAGCACTTACTCCTGACTCCTGACAACTCGCCAGTGTAACCGAGCTGGCTAACCAAACCTCAACGAGTATAGCACGCCTGGTTTCGCGGCGGGAGTAACCTCTTTAACAGGAACTGCAGCATTCTGACACCATTTTCGCCAAATTTTTTCTTTTTCCACCCTCCTGGTTAGCTTGTTCTCTTTGCTTTTTTGACCAGGATCCAATGACATTCTCTGGCCTCCCCTCCATTTCATTTTGTACTTTCCTCTCTCGACGAAGAAAAGGGGTTACAGAATCAATTGAGTTCAACAATCGCTGATCCAGCTCAAACTCGAGCCCTTTGTTGCTTTTTCAACGCATTGCCTATGCACGTCTTGTGTGTCTGTCAATTTTGCCCCCACGCACCCACACAGCTGGGATGGATGGCAGGATGGCCCATGACTGAGCCTGCTGCTGCATCACTCTTTGAACCCCCGTCTTCTTCTTGGCATGCATCAAGACTGGGTTCTATGCGCGCACAAACTCAGTCCCGCCCGCTGTCAAAAAATCCAGGGGCATTTACAAGCCTACCAACGGCGGTGCAGGGCAGACAGGGCATCAACAAGCATTGGAAGTGACAGGATTAGAAACCGCCGCTGGCAATTCTTCTCCGAGCGGCATTTCCCACCGAGCCCGGGGGAGGAAAAGCTCCCGGTCTGGCTTGTTGTTTCGGTTTCCGACATCCCGACGCCTGCCCTGCTCCGTGGTCAGTATCTCAGTGACGGTAACATCTGCCCGTCTGAGATGAAGCTCGCATACAATACAGGTTAGGTATTTGAACAATAGACTACATAATACATGTCAGACCATACCTTCTCCGCGGCAAAGGCAGGCTCCCCTTCCATTGCGTGGACTATAGAGCCAAGGCTAGACTATCGGCAACCGGCCAATTTTTCATGGACAGCGAAGCAGCCGTGAGGCCATTCTTCTCTTTGTCGTCGGAAGTTCGGAAATTCAACCTCCTTGCTTCATGCCCGCCGTGAATTCATGCAGGCCGCGCTTGACTCACCTTGACCTTCTTCCCTCGGCGTTGCCAAATCAGTGAGCCCATCTCCAGTTTTCCTCTATCTCATCATCTTCGCCATCTTTGTCCGCTTCTTCTGGAAGCCCACCTGTTTCCACTCCGCCTTTCGAGGAGATGGAAACCCTTGGGCCGTGTCCGCTGAGTGGCCGCAGTGGCGGTAAGTCAAGAAACCGCTCAAATCGTGCCACTTTCACACCGGTCACCTACGCTTATGCACCCAACTCGTCCCATCTCCACCGTACCGTACAACTTCAAATGCAAGTAAAAAAAGATTTCAATTCTACGTATCTCCTCGCTTCGTGCCGAGGACGCGTGCTAATTAATACGCATTCAGTATGGTGTATCCCAGTTCCGTGCCTCCCCGTCATCATCAAGTCGCTTATACACACCCTCCCTCCACTCCCCAGATTAAACATCGTGTAGCAAAGTATCACCAGAGCCATCGCGAGGTACTCATTCCTGCACCTCCTGCACCTCCGGCTTCCTCCCGACCATCAGGTACATCGGCGTGAACAGCCCCCTCCTCCCGCCCTCCACCAGCGCGTCCGCCGCCTTCCCAAGGCTCTCCGCCGTCTTCCTCGTCCCCGACGGCAGCAGCCACACCGTCTCGAGCGCCCCGAACAGCGCGTGCATCACCTCCCTCCCCCACCTGTTCATCCGCGCCACCATGACCACGTCGCTCAGCGACTGCGCGTACGCCAGGCTCGTCCCAATGACCCAGTACCACGGCGCGAACGACGCCTCCCCGATCACCGCGAGGTCCTCGTGGTGCTGCAGCTCGAACCCGGCGTCCTGTATGGCGGACACGCCCTCGGCCACGGTGAACATCTGCGGGATCCCGTCCCCTTGCTCAATGTCCAGCCGGATGCGCCGGTGCTCCAAGTCGTCGTTGTCGTACGCGTCCGTCATGAGCCACTCGTACACACCGAAAGTGCCGCCGGGCTTGAGCACGCGCAGGATCTCGCTGTAGACGCCCTTGAGGGAGGGGGCGTGGCACGTGGCCTCGATGGCGTAGACGGCGTCGAAGGAGTTGTCGGGGAACGGCATTTTCTATCATCCCATTAGTTAACATCGCAGTCATTAAGCATTGTAGTTTGTAGTATGTGAACGCACCATGAAGTCGCCCTGGACGAAATCCAGCAGGTTCGACAGCCCCTCGCGGGCGGCGTAGTTGGTCGCCCGCTGGACCTGGTACTCGTTGAGGTTGAGCCCCGTGACGTGGGCCCCGGTGAACTTGACGATCTCGCGGGCCGGGCCCCCGACGCCGCAGCCCACGTCCAGGACTCTCATGCCCTTGCGGATGGACATGCTGTGGGCGATGTAGTGCTCGTGGCGGGCGATGGCTCGGTGGAAGGTCTCGCCGTACGCGAACCGGCAGAAGTGGAAGGACTGGCCGAAGCCGTACTCGTAGAAGTCCGTCGCCAGGTTGTAGTACCTACCCTACATGTTAGAACACAATGACTCGAGATGGTATAATGATGATGATGAAAGGAGAAGGTACGTACTGTCTGGTGATGGTGGCATAGTTGTCAGTTCTCTCTTGACGGACCTCGGCCGTCTCATCTTCGGCCTTCTTGTCATCCCAAAACTGGAAGTACTCCTTTGAGGCAGCGGCGTTGGCAGCACTGTTCTTCTGCCTCATGGCACTGAGACCGCCTTGGGTCTTGTTGGACTTGCGGTGGAGGACGGCGTCAAACTGATGACGCCGGACCTCGTCGTGTGAGATGACCTCTTGGGCAGACATGGCGTGTTTTTGCGGATGCGTAGGGGCGGGGTGGACGGGGGATGGGAGATGTGCCGCAGATGGGGAAATTTTCCGGAGCGGAGTGCGGTGATGAGGCGAAGAAGAAGGGTGATGAAGATGATGAGTTTTTGGAGTCGGGAGAACGGGAAAAGACGCAGCTTAAATACTCGTTTCTGGCCCGGAACCCCCTGAGTCGAAGGATCGGACTAGATCCCATTTTCCCGCCGTCCGTGAACCCGATGTACGGGCGTCTCGAATACGTTTGATGGCGGAGACGAACCCGAACAAGATGGTTCACGATCTGCGAACCCGAAGACGGCCGGAGCGTGCAGCGAATACGAGCGCCGGCGGAGGCCCATATTTCCGGCCCTCGGGCTCCGGCCCAGAAGCTGTTAGTGAGCAACAAGACCACCCTCTTTCATCCAATAACTTGCGTAATTGGTTTAGTGGTAAAATTCTCCGTTGCCATCCGAGCAGCGTCGGGGAGCCCTGGGTTCGATTCCCAGATTACGCATTTTTGCTTTTCGGAATGTCTCTTTTTTTTTTATGGTTGAGATTTTAACAATCCATCTCAATAATCTCAGTTGTGCCGGTCTCGCTGGAGTTTTGCGGTTGTGATATTGCTTGGAAGAGGCAAGTGTGAGTAGCCGAAACCGTCAAATTTAGGCGTGCTTACCTAATCATATGCCTTCCAGCCTGTTACCCTCAGTTTTTACTCTTTCGAACATTCCTTTTTCACCTTGTTACTTTTTGCTCGGCCTGGTTACAACAATTGCTTCGTCTTTTTGTTGGATGTTGATATAAATGGCTGATAACAATTCATTCATTATTACTTCCCACTATTAACAAGCGGTGCCAGTCCCATTCAATTCCATGCATCAGCGTACATCAATCCACCCAAGAAAATTTCCCATTATCCAGTAGACTTTCCCGTGCACTATCAAGGTACAAATAATCCGACATGCAATCCCTTAAAGTCCGCCCAGGATGGCAGCTCCGCCAAAGAGGGCTCCCATGCCGACCATGGCCGTGACGCGAGCGCCAGCCTGCTCCGAGCTGCTGGTGCTGGCGACGCCGCCGAGGTTGGTCTGCGTGGAGGTCGGCGCGGGCACGTTGGACGTGAAGGGGATCGCGCCGTTGGAGAGGGTGCTCGCGCCGCTGAAGGCGGGCGCGGTGGTGGATGTGTTGGGGGTGGTGTCGTTGCCCGACGTGGCGTTGGGGTTCAGAACACTATTTGCATCGAGGTTAGCACGGAGTTTGATTTTTTTTTAACTCTAGATGATCTTTCTTTCGAGGCTAGATGAGGAGAAATTGGAGGACGTACCGGTCAATGACGTGCACAACACCGTTGGCGATGAGGACGTCGGGCTGGACGACCTTGGCGGTGTCGATGTAAATGTCGGAGCCCAGCACGGTGACATTCAGCGTCTCACCACCCGCAGAGGTGAGCGTGCCGTTCTGGAAGTCGGTGCTGTAGGCCACCACACCCTCGAGGACGTGGTACTCGAGCACGGTGCTGAGATCGCTGGAGCTGATGTTCTGCAGGATGTTTGCGATGTCCGAAAAGCCCTGGTTGAGAGGGGCGAAGACGGTGATGTTGGTCGCCGTGTCGAGCGGCTCGGTCAGGTTGGCCGCGGTCAGTGCACCGGCTGCAGCGGTGAGGTTGGCCTCGATGGCCGTGGCGCTGAGGTTCAGGGGGATGGTGAGGACCTCGTCAATGATGTGGATCACACCACCGGTGAAAGTGATGTTCTGTTCGAATCATGTTAGCTGGGACACATCCAACGGTATTGCACGGTGTTGCCTATTCCACATACCGCCTGGGTCACGTTGGACTTCTTTCTGAAGCCGCTTAGGAAGGTGACATTGTTGTCGGTCTTGATCGCCTCGACGACCTGTCCGCCCGTGACATTGGTGAACTCCGTGGCGTTCAGCAGAGTTGGGAGGAATGACGGCGTGCTGGTGACATTGTCCGAGTAGTAGGTGCCGTTGAGCACGTGGTATGAGAGGATCGCGCCAATCTGCTGAGGGCTGATCTGGCTCACGGACGTGTTGCCCAAGAAGGTCTTGAGGGCATCATTGTTCGGCGCCAGGATGGTGATATCGGTGAGGCTGTTAAGCAGCTCGAGTGTGCCGTTTTGCGTGGCGATCAGACCTGATCTATGTGTTAGATGTACTCTTGTAAAAGCTCACTGGGACACACATACCAGTCAGTGTAGACAGAGAGCTGTTGGCAGACTGCAGTGCCTGGGTGAGGTTGGGCTGGTTGTTCTGGGCCGCTGCCGGCTGGAGGCCGAAGGCGGCCAGCAGCGAAACGAGACCTACGATGGGGCTGACCATGGTTTCGAGAGAAGCGGTGGAGTTTTATTGTGGTACTGTAGGTCGAGCTGAGTCTGTCTTACACAAGCAGTTCACTATCAGAGACGTGGAAATGGCTGGGCATTTAAGAGAGAAGAGCATAGACCACCCCTGGTTCGTCGCCATGGCACCAAGCACGAGAGCCAAGGCGATCAGCTGCGGGCATTGCATCTGGAAGCTTGGCTTACGTTCACGAATGGGTAGCTAAATCCTGATTTCGGTAACAAGCCTTGGTCTATATCCGATGTTGGCCGCCTAGACCAGTAAGACGATTCCATCACGTACTAGCCAGCGTCGATGACCGCACCATGTCAGGGTGGTCTGAGACCTGTGGTACACCGACCACTGCCGTGCCTTGTTCCCGAGAGAAGTATCAATGCGACTGCCATGACCCCAATGCGCAGTGTATCTATCCGCCAACGTCCCAAGAGGCCTCAATCCCAAGAGTCCCAGAGACAACCCTTCAATTCCTCTCTCCCTCCACCATGTACGAGTACCCGTCCATGCCTGAAGCCGCGGAACATCGGCCAGGTAGGTCAAAAGAAAGCCAAGTAAAAGCTGGGGCGAGTGGGTCAAGGCTACCAAACAATGCCATCCATGACTGATGGGGGATGGAGCCAAGGAGCATGGGGAAAAGCTATTCCCCTCAGATCGAATAACATTCACACATCTGAATAGCTCGGCGCTACTAGCTGGAAAATTCAGCGATCAGCACGATACATCGGTTTCAAGTGGTCGACGCACCGAGGCGGGGGTGTGCTCAATCGGGGCCCCGGCCTCCCATCCACCAAAAGTCATCGTCATCGACTCTGCAAGACGCGCAATGCCATGCCGCAGCTACATGGCACTATTGCCAGCCCCCATTGACCGACGTATCAATCCGTCTCACCAGGTGGTAGTGCAAACACTGTTTCCTTGGATGCATACATGTGTCGCAGCCCGCTGCAGCGCCAAGTCAGAGACGATATGTCGCCATCCTTGGCTCTGGCCCGTTGATCCAAACAGAACGCCCGAAACCATGGGGGAGCACATTCACCATCCCGCATCATAATGGCATAGGCGGGCCAAACACGTCGTCAGCCGTATCCACCTTGCGTCGCTTGACCTCTCTCGAGATCGCCTCGCCAAAGAGCTCCCCCTCGGCCGGCCCAGCAGGTTTCTTCTCCTTGTTCAGCGCCTGCTCGCGGCGAGCCTTCTGCAGCGCCACAAGATCGACACGGTCGGGATCACGGCATCTCTGCAGCTTCTTTCGCAGTGGCTTCATGGATTTGATCGTCTCGGGCTGGAGGGGGAAAAACAAGTTAGCTAGCAAATCCCAACGACGCAAGCCACAGGAATCCCATGCATATCCTTACCGTTTCCCAGTAGCTAGACATTCTCTCCGGTGGCTCCTCCTCTAGCATGACACGGCAGCTGTCAATGGCCTCCATGATTTTCTTGTGCATCTCCCCAGCCGCACCATCCCCCGCGCCCGAATGTGGCGCAGGCACGAGGACGTCCACCAAGGTCTTGTCGACCATTTGTAGCGCCGCCATCATGATCTGGCTTGGTGTGTAGTGGAAGTAGACATCCGTCAGCAGCGCGCTGAACTTGAGCACCTCCCTCGCCCGCACGTGAGCCTTGTTGATCCGGGACTGCTCATTGGGGAGCCGCTGCTGCAGCTCCAGGATCGCCCCGTCCAGCGCCCTCAGCGGGTGACGCACGTCGAACGCGAAGCGCACGCCCTGGCACAGGAGGAACTCCCCGGCCAGGATCTGCTCGCTGGTCGTGCCCGACAGCTTCTCCGAAAGCCTGCTCAGGCGGATGTAGTATCCCTCCGCCTTGCACCCAAAGAAGAGGGATGTCTTCAGCAGCTCGGTCGGGGGGTAGGTCATGACGGAGTTGGTGACATAGAATCGGCGGAAGAAGACGGCGGCGGTGGATCGAATCTCGGTGGGCAGCTCGCAGAACTGGGCGGCCTGGATCAGCTCGATGGTGTGGAATCGCACGAGCCGTATCTCCTCCTCGGCTGTGAGGAACTCGGGGGGAGGGTTCGCGGTGAGGCGAGGCGCTATCTGCTGCTTCGCCAAGGAGTTCGTCTTCGCTCGCAGGTCCTGGAGGCCAGCTCTGGTGAAGGACCACAGCCGGTACTGGCTCGACTGTCTGTAACGCTCGTCTTCGGTCGCCATCGTGGTCTAAAGAACGCAGTCGGTAGGTAGATGCTTTGGTGAGAGTCGTATTGCAATCGCATGGGGGGAAGAGGCAAATGCTGTTTTTTTGTTGTGATGATAGCTGCCTAGAGAAGCTGCTACCCTACAGCGCTTATCGCTACAGTGTTATCTATGTGTTGTTACTGTATAAATTGGCCTCTCCCGGTCGAGCTTCAATTGGAAGTCCATTGCTCATTCATCTTGGAGAAATGAGACTTGATATTAGAAGCAAGAGGGAATTGTTAATGACCTAACTCAGGTGTCAGGTGTGTGGGAGAAATTGTACTGTCAGATCCGACAAAACTAGCTCTGTGTAACAAGCTACGGGGTATGTCTCTGCTACGGCAAGAGGAACAATTGAAGATTTAGAGTAACTGGCCCTCAGCCAATGGAAAAATAACAGAGAAATGATAAACGGAATGTCTGTTAGAGCTTCACGCCTGTGCTGTGGCTCTCCAGCGCCAAGCCAGATTACATCCCAGCCCAGGAAGCAAGATCCAACCCACATCTGTCTGGCTCATACGCGAAGTACTTGGATTGCATGTTAGAAAGTCTATGTAGGCATCCCTGCCTGCCTTTTATTAATGATTAAGTCATGAAAGAGCGGCCGCAAGGTGTTTTGCTCTAGGAGTAGGTATAGAAGTGCTCTTGCGTTTCGTTGGGTGAGGAAATGCCAATATCAGGTTGACCGATTGAACAGTTCGACACACAAGCATATACTCGCCACAACGTATAGCTAGGCCATATGCTCCATTGAAAATTTACATCACCGGTCCAGGATGGTGAATTGAAGCATGATTCATTAATAATGTATTTTCCTCTTATCCTAGAAAGTATTCAAAAACCCAAGACCCATTAATGTACACAAAAAAAAGCTCAACCAAAACAACCAATGTAATAATATCACGCTGCGACTTTCCCCATGTAGTCGTCGTGGATGCTGACAATGCCGTCGCGGTACAGCTCCCACACCCAGGGGTACACCATGCGCGCGTACTCGCTCCGCCGCTCGAGCACATACCGGGGCGAGATGTGCTCGTAGTTGTGCGCGCCGTGGTTGCGGAAGGCGTGGACCATGTACGACCGGCGCCAGTTCCAGTTGGACCACTCGGGCTTGACGTACTCCTGCCCGGGGGCGTCCCACCGGTACTGCTCAAGCTCGCGGTACTCGTGCTCGAAGCTGGGTAGCGGGTCGCCGTCCCGGTGGTGCTCGAGGTTGTTGGTGAAGGTGCCGTCGTCGAAGTCGTGGTTGACCCAGAGCTCGTGGCGGCCCTCGTTGGTCCAGTCGACGGGGTGGAAGGTGGTCTGGGACACGACGAGCAGCTCGTCGCCCTGGCCCTCGAGGTGCTGGCGGATCTTGGTGCCCACGTGGTTGGAGTGGGTGACGTAGCCGCCGTCGAAGGCGGCGTTCATGCCCGTGACCCATTGGTCGATGAAGAGGGAGCGCGCGGCGGTGAAGACGACGCCGAGGTTGATGAGGCCGCCGAACTCGATGCCGATGATGGCCTTGTATCCGGACTTGAGGAGCGGCCTGATATCGCGGAGGGCGTGCTGCAGACTGCGTTAGATCTAATGCGACGGAAGACGGGATATTCAAGGACGGGAAACTCACCACATCGAAGTCGATGTAATAGCCACCATACTCCTGGAGGACCTTGGCTCTGGCGAAATCGGACCGGGCCTCCATGCCGGTAATCTCCATGCCGTTGCCGGCGTGCGACTGCAACTCAACATGGTTGATAATGAGGCCCGGGTGGTTCAGGATCAATTGACTCCATTTGCCTCCAGCGCCGGATCGAGCCCGATCAAGGGCCTCGGGGCCGGCGTTGGTATGGAAGTAGATCTTCTCGGGCTCCCAGACCTTGACGGCCCCGTACAGGCAGAGGTAATTCTTGAACTGGAAGTTGAAGTTGGACGTGTCATCCTTGAGGGCGTACAGCAGGTGCAGGTGGTTAGGTATGCTATAGTTGCGCTCGACCTGAGGCTCGGGGATGGGTACGTCGCTCGGCACTGCCGCATCTGGCTCCTGGCCACGATGTAATGATAAGTTGCCGATGCTGGGGCCGAAGATGTGAAGGGAAATGAGCAGCGCGATGCCGAAGAAAGCAAATGCGAAGTAGCGAACGTGGCGCGAGTTGCCCGCTGCCGACAGAAACGAGGGCGTCGTCGGTTTGGAACTCATGGTGGTAGCGGAGCCTGGGATGTGATGGCCCAGAGAAGAGAACGGCTGGGATCCCGCGGAGTTGATGAAGGAGGAGGAAGTCAGCAAGCAGCAGCAAGGCAAGAAGATGCTTAGCCTGCGGCCAGTGTATCGAGCTTATGATGTACCGCTCAGGGGTAGGCCGGCGTATCGCACACGTGAAAGCAAGACAAGCCAAAGTCTTGTCAAAGACACCGCAGGGCCGCTGCTCGAAGTAAAGGACAATAGCACCGAAATCAGGGTCCCTCCTGAGCTCCAGGAGTCGCGCAGATGTACCTGATCAAGTACCTCCCTCTGGTGAGGTTCCTGGCGGCCACTCTAGGTCGCAGAGGGTTTAGCTGCAGGCTCAAGCGCAAGGGGTGGCGATCGAGAGGTGTGCAATCGGGATGGGTACCTGGCGTAGAGATCCGGCCACGAGAATAGCGTCCAAATAATCATGTTTGGTCCCATCCTGCAAGTCCCTTAGCTTGGCGAACCCGCATTATGTGGCTGCTCAGACCAGCTGAAATGTTCGCGGAGTGAGTACTGTGCCTGCCGGTGGCTGAAACTCTGGCAGACCTCCCTAAGAAAGCTCCTCTAACCAGGGCTTTTCATCCAATTCCCATTCCTACTCAGCTTCAAAGAGACTGGTTGTTTGGCGATCTGCGTCCGATCAAGATAACAGAAGGGCAACCTTGCCCTGCTCCATGTCAGATCTAATACCAGGACTTCTTACCTATCTCGTCCACTACGTAGGGGCCCCATGCCGCGAGCCCTGTCAAGGGTCCCACCATGACGGTTCCCATTGCTGACTGATTACTGCACACACGGATTGAACTGCTGCAAAGGTCTTATATGCCGCATGGCTCAGGGAGAGATGGAATTTAGTCTTCGCCCCGCCAAACGCTAATGTCGGCACGGCAGTACAGAGGTTCTAATGGTGACCCCGTCTCCAAATAGAGCTACAGCCACTAATGGCGAGGCTAGTAGTAACCAAAGGCTCTACAGCGTCGCTACTGAGGAGCCTGCCGGAGCTTTTTGGCCAGGAGGATGAGTGGAGGGGATCTGACGCATTCCAGGATCGCAAATAGGGGCCTGAATGGCTCTAGGGCGCGACTTTGGTAGGCGTTTCCTTGCCGGATGTTGGGTGGCATCTTGCATGAATGTGCCTCCTCGTAAATGAGACATAGGGCTGACCATGTGGCTCGTACCGGGTGGTCTCCTGCTCCCGGGTATTTACTGCAATCCGAAGGTATGGAGACTCTTTGACGTATGGACACAGTGGCCGAATGTTGGAATTTGCGCTATATTAAATAGGAAATTGGGGTCGTGGCAGGCGAAAGCCAGCTTGGACTAAATTAGAGGCCGTTGCGCGTTGGAACGTCCAGCTCTTACCTACCTTAAGGTAGGTACCTAGATTGGGGTTACGTGTTGCGCAAGAAATAATGTGAATGTGGGCTATGACGATGGCTTTGGCACGTAGGATTGGTAAGAAATGTCAGCTTCGGATCAGGCACGGACATAAGACCAGCTCGGAATTCTGAAGCAGGATTGAGGACTGTGATCAGGGGTCGCGTGCGAGAAGTTTGGACTTTTGGATGTGGTGCGCCAGCTTGGCAGCAGGGTCTGGCATCACCTTTGGGTACCTTAGCTTCTAACATATGGACTTCGAATAGCAGGGAAGTAAATGGATCTTTGGTTGATCCCTCGTTTTTGCAGGAACATCCGTTTGGTGGGGTTGACTAATAAAAGCTAAACAACAATAGACACTGGGACAAGGAAGTTTCCGATGTACATGGTATGATTTTGTCGATTGATGTGCCTGAATCATTACGGTACAGCGAACGAGGGAGGATGCTTCAGTTTTATGGAGGGAGCTCAGGGCTCCAACGGGAGTGCAGGGTAGCCATGCGGTGGGAGGGTCTTTGGGCAGAGCGAATTGTCCTGCGAGTGCTCATCTTCTACAATTAGCACTTGCCAAGAGGACAGGTGGGCAGAGAGATAATGAGGTGGTGGGGGAAGGTGCAGCGCTCATTAACGGTGTTGAAACAGCTTCCCTTTGAAGATGCTGATCTGGTCTTAGATTACTGTCCGACTTGGCGAATATCATCAATGGGCAAGAAAGCCATTTTTCATCGCTGGCGCCAACAAGAAATCAAGGTGGACTTGTGCTGACTTTGAGACGGGCCAATCACCACCACGATATATGTCGAGGTGGTATTCTATCCCAGATTAGCCCCCTGTCGCCTGCACTGCTACTTTGGTATGTACAGTTGGGACGGGTGGCTCACACCACGAGCAAGGCCGGGAGCGGGAACGATACAACGATACGAAAAGTCCGTTGCTCGTGACCTTGGAAAACGAGGTGCTATGCCTGTGGCGAGGAGCCAAGTGGGAAGCTCCCGAGGGCGCGAGACACTTGGCATTTGCCTAAGCCAGCAAGACAAGACGACGCAACGGTTAATGATGATGAGCCCCTTATCTCAGAGGCTAATAGAATGAGGTGGGGGGTGTCACCAAAATCTCAGTCCTCTTCCGACAGCTTATCCGACCTGCAGCTGGGGCTGGGATCATTGCGCAGAAATGATATGAGTGGCGCACAGCTGGAACACGGCTCGCAAGCCACCGTCTCAGCGTTGGCAAAAGCAAGCAGGCACTATTGCGTGTTCCGTCAATGCATACTACTGCCATGTAGCCGGCCGTTTATTGCCAATGTCGGTGGAGAGGCGGCAGCATCTGTTGGCCATGGCGAAACGAGAGATGACGAGGCCGGCAGCTAGAGCAATACAGTTAAATCGAGTGACTGGCCATTTGATAGCTGCTCGCTAGCAGAATAGTAGCAGCCAATATATGAGGTGGTGCAGGACGGGCGATCCCTGCCGGCCCACACTCAGCCCAAGCTCAGCCTTGGTCCCTGTTCACTTCTGACCCGACGTCTTGGCCCGCGCCAAGCAATGCCGGCGCACGCGAGAGCGAAGTTCCCATTTTTGCTGCCCATGCGAGAGTGCCAGCGGCGTTGCGAGCAGAGGAGGCACTTCGCAAAGGATGGGCCTCCACTGGCAGCTGCACACGCACTCCCGTCTCATCTCCGGCACCCGCAACAGGCCATCTCCAGGCGACTCCAGCGGTGTTGTCGTTCCTTTTGGGGGCGTGTCTCGCCTGAGGGGCCTGTCCTACCAACTCGGCGCACTGCCCATTAGCGCGCTCGTAGCCCAAGATTTTGTTCCACCGGCGCCAAATCAGATCAATGGCCCCCCCGCTTTTCCCCCAATTGCTGCTAATTGGGCGGTACTTTGGGTGTACTTTGCGATCGCTGCAATGCCGTTTGACCACAACCCTAATCTGCCCCAACAGGCCATCTCGTCCTTCTGCATCGTAAACACCACGCCCTTGCCCACGCCCAGCCGAGCCAGGCCAGCACAGGCAAAGCCCGCATCTTGCCATCCCGGTTTTCACTGACCGACTGATTGGGCCGTGGCATTGAGCTGCCCGTATTGCCCCTCGCTCGCCTCTCTGAACGCGATTCGTCTCCAGCCGCTGCCTCCGTGTAGCTTGTTGTATGTACTCCTCTCACTTCGTCCTCACTCGACCTTGTCCCACCACACACTCCTTTCTTTCATGGCCTGCGCCTTGCCTACTGGTCTCTCCCTTTTTGTATTTCTTGCCAAGTCACTCCTTTTACCCCGGCCAGGGCACTCTGTCTGATATACCTACGTCTTGTCCTCCCCGTGCCCATTATCCCCTTCTCGGGCCAGTCACTCTTTGATCCCGTCAGCATTGTCTTTCGTTAACCGGGTGTGGCGCCGTGTTGCTTGTACTCGCCCGTCCAATATTGTCATTCGTTCCGCGTTTTTGACCTCGAGCTTCTTTTTATCTTCACCTCTCCTTCTTTTGCCCGTCCCGTCTTTGCCTGCCCACCGCCACCATGTTGACCAAGCACCCCATGAGCATCACGGGTGCTATAGCCACCCACAGGCGCTACATCCTCCTCGCTCTCACGTCTTTTGTCCTGTTCTGGGTCATCCTCTACTCATACGGCGACAGAATAGATCTTGCCAGCATCCACTACCCGGGCTCCCACCACTCCAAGGAGAACAACACCCTCATCACCATCGACGCCACCAAGGAATCCGACGGCGCCCTCATCCCCAACTACCTTCATCTCATCTACGCCCTCAAGGACCCCAAGTCCAGCTTCAACTTCCACTTCAAGGACTACCTGTCCCTCTACGGTGCCCAGCACCACTGGCACCCCGACCGGGTCTACCTCCACACCAATGCCGACAAGGAGGCACTCGACCGCGGCCGCTCTGGCGAGTCGGGCAAGTGGACGCAGCTTATTCTCAATCACCCCAATCTGATCATCCACAACATCGAGCTGCAGGAGACGGCTGGCAATGGCTTGACCATTCAGCGTATGGAGGCCCAGACCGACTTCGTCCGCGCCAAGGTCCTGAACGACATTGGCGGCTACTATATTGACTTTGATGTTGTAAGTGGCTTCGCCTCCCCAAAAAGAAGCCCATTCAGACTAACCCGCTCCCCAAGCACGCTCTCCGCGACATCGCACCCCTTCGCCACTCCGGTTACAAGGCCGTCGTCGGAATCGAGGCCGGCGGCGCCGTCAACCTGGGAGTCCTCCTCACAGCCCCGCGATCCCAGATGATCAAGCAATGGGTCGAGGGCATGAACGCCGCCTTCGACGGCAGCTACGTCCAGCACGCCAACGGCGTCTGCTCCAAGATCCGCGACCACCTCGAGGGCGTCGACAGCGAGCTCCTCGTCGTTAACCAGGGGTCCTTCCACCCCGTCGAGTGGAGCGACGGCGACAAGGGCAAGCGCGGGCTCTTCCGCAACTACGACCTCGACGACGGCACCTTCACCAACAACCTCACCACCTTCAACGACGGCGATCCCCTCCCCGACTTCGCTGCCGAGCAGGACGTCGACCACACCACATGGAACGCCGCCGACTCCTACAAGGGGCCCGAATGGGCCAAGGAGTGGCTCTGGACAAAGTCCTACACCCTCCACGCCTTCCGCCCACACACAGACGTCTTCGACTCGTTCGGCCTCGAGCACATCTCCCCGCGCTACGTCCTCGAGCGCAGGAGCAACTACGCCCGCGCCGTCTACCCCATGGCCCTGGACATGTACAGGAGGGGCATCATCAGCGTTCACGACACGTACACTGGCTTGCCCTAGGCGGGGCCGGGAGCCAAAGTTCTTGCTATTTTCTACATTTGCTTTTTTCTACCACACATCATGGCGCAAAGAAAAGGGAGGATGGAGAGGGGCTCATGTTTCTTGTTTTTTTTGTCCCGCCCCTCCGGCGTTCTTGAGTATTCTACACTGTAATAACTGGTTTATTCACGAAGTCTCATGGCATGCCTTGAATTAATGTCACATTCAGTCCACCCTGGTCAACAAGCTTCTGCCAACTCTCTCTTTCAACGTGATATTCCTGCTAGCCGAGCTCAGCTCAATTTCCTCGGGGGTATCGTGGACCCCCTCGTATGGTTTTGCCAAGTCCCCGCCAAGCCAGCGCGCAATTGGACCACGGGGACCTCGTATCACCTTTTTCTCGCAAACCATGGCACAATCCGTCAGCTTTCCACGCGCTGGGGCTGTATACGAACGAGGACCCCGGCCGGTTCTGGCGATTGCGAACCCTCGTTGTCGCACAGGTGGCGCGCAAACAAGTTGGACTGGAAGGGGAACAGAACACCGGGCGACTCGTGTGCGCCGGCGGCATCTGGAGGTTCGAGACATTCGCGAGCCCTCCCTGTGTCGGGGCTCGCCCTGGTGAGGGGGGGAGGAATTCGAGAATTAAAGGCATGGGCCGGGCCGCGGCTGGCTAAAAGCGGAGAAGGCGCCGCTGGGGATACATACATACCTATCTTTTTGTACGAGGAGTATTGATCCTTCATACCAATGGTAAAGGAGCAGGGTTTCTGGGGATCCGGCAGGACTGTGTCGTCGGCTTGGAATGTAAATGGATGCCATGCCTTGCCCGCCGCTTCCCGGGCTTGCGAGTCATCAGCGACACTTTTGTCGCATAGCTCCTTTCGTGTCAATGATTTGTTGAATTCAATTGTGAAGTTTTGGGAAACAGTGTGTATAGCCCAAACTCCGAATGGAGGTGTAGTCTAACCGTCAACAATTGTAGTGCAAGACTAGCTCAAGGTCAAAAGCACTGATAGCCACCTCGCCTTTGCCACGTGTATGTGTTCTTTTTTTAGACTCACTTCAGGATTCTCTGGAATGTGGTTGCATGCCGATGCTTTTCAATCAAGACAGTGACATCATCGTCGACAAGGAGCTCCGTGTTAGATCATACATGTAGATAAACACAAGATTGGAAAGCCCCAAGACTTGATATCAAGACGTATAAATGACCACGCCAGGAGTCTGACGTTCTGTGTCACTCTCGTCCCGGCATCATCACTCCTTTCAGAGACAGCCGGAAGGGATCAAGGTAGCAAACACATAAAAGACGGACGATATGCCTGCTATCAACAAGGAGATCTGTCTATTCATCTTCCATTTAAATGCTCACCAAAGGTACTGATCAATCTAGGCATATTACAGTATATGGGCCCGTTCTATATACGTGCTTCACAGCGAAGGCTCGCGAACAAGAACCTTCTACGAATATGGCGGTCCTTTTCCACGCTTCAAGAGGTGTGTGATCGTCGGAAGATCGTGTTCTTCCTGGCTAACCGTTGATTGCTTGTTGCCCTTAGTTTTTCCCGTTTCCTTGTGTTTTTTTTTCGCCTGTTGATTCTCCTTATTGGGACCAGGTGCTGTCCGCGATCTAGTTCAGCGTGAGAGTCCATGGCCCTGAGCATCAACAATCTTAGCCACGATATTCGTAGCGCTGGATTAGGGAGCCGGATTAGGGAGCTCCCATCTTTCCTTGGAGAACTTTTCGTAACCCTATTCCGGTTTGGAAACCCGGTCTTGATCTTGCTAGCATCCATATTGAAACCCGACCATCCTTGGTTTTGGAGCTAGTTTCGGACTTGATGGAAGTCTTCCTAGGAGAACCTTCCCGGCAACGACTTTGGGTTTGACGGGCCTTTCCAGATCCTGTCATCTTCATCGAAGGCCCTTCTTTTAATGGAATGACGCATTCTCGGGGGCTTCTACTTTCATGGAGACTGTTGCCCTTTCGGGGTCGATTTGATGCTACGCATCTTTGACATAACGATGACAGTAGCAAGGCCATTGAGTTTAGTGACATCTTCCTTGAATCTACCCCGACAAAGGAATTTTTATTGGCCTTCCTCTAGTTTCCAAAGCTCTGATTGGTTATGATTGAGTCATGGCTCTCAGCTGAGGCCTAGAGACACGTATAGTCTTAAAATGTATCACTCCTTCCGAATGATAGTGCTCAGCGGCAACTTAAAGTCGGTTTTTATTTGCCACTCCCATTACTATTTTACAGTTTCTTTTGCCATCCGTCGCTGTGAAACCTGTCCCAAGGCCCTTGCTAAATGTGACAACAAGACTAAGTGACTATTTTGAACCAATTCATTCAGAGAAACAGCTAGATGTTGCGCTGATAGTATCCCTGATACTCCCTTGGGATATATCCCATCCGTTAGTGGTCTAGGCAACTCAAATATTTCCTTCAACAGTAATCGGACGGACGGAGCGAGAGCTCGCAGATGCTAATAGAGATAAAGCTGGCCAAGAAAATCTCCTATTTTCTCCTGCTGCTCAGAGTTGTAACATTTGTGTCCTAGTACCGAATAGAAACAACTGGAAGGTCAGTAACAACATAAGAGACATATTGGACCAAACCCCCATGCCACCGAAAAGAAAATGTACCCAGAGTAGCGCCGTTTTCTTCGCCATGTGTCTGGTACTTTGTAATAGGAGCCGACCTGAGACGCTCTGGAGGCTCCGCTGCCTTTTAACAATTCAATCAAGTATGAGAGTGCTTTGTTTCTCCCCTTTTGATTCAGTGTGTTTTGCCTGCCTGGATGCTAACATGAGAATCGGTTGCGGAGAGAGTTCTTGGTCACATCAATGCGTGCCTATCTAGTTTAAATGTGGTGTACTGGTCTCGAGAGGTGGACTCCAATATACTTTTAGTAGTCTCTAGCTTCTTTGGTTAGTTGGCACTTCTAAATATTATACATTCAAGTAGGCTTAATCGCCAAACACTCCTGAAAAAGGATAAACCCCCCTCTTGTACAAAGTCCAAGGTCCAGCAAACGTATCCCATAAAGAAGCAACACTGAAGCCTCTTACCTCTCCGTTCAAAGGGGGGATTTTAATCATCTTGCTCTTCTTTTCCTTGCTTCTGAAAACGTTAGAGCAAGAATGGTCATTGAGGAGTAGTATCCTGTTGGGAGAGCAAACTTCGATGCCTTAGACATATGACGTCCAGTTGATGGTACCTTCTTGTACGAGTCTACTTGGCGCCTTCATTAGTGGTTTCATAAGGGCTCTCTAATCTGAAATTCCGACCGGATTTTCTAGCAGTACCTAACAAGGACTGTATTTTTGGCAGTGCTTGAAAGATCTCTGAGCCAGGTATAGGGTAGGTGCATTTTCGCGGAGATCTGCCAGACATCTAGGAAAAATGTCTACATTACTAGGACAAGTCGCATCACATTCTGTGGAAACAATTATGCGGCATAGATAAGCTTTTTATGTCTATGGCTCTATACGCTACAAATTTAGCCGATGTTGCAAGAAAAAAACGACGCAGCAAGTTAAACCGAGGAGGCCTCGCAAGGCTGATATTGAGCCGCGTTTCGCTGCCCGAGATACTCGTCTTACCCTACATTTTCAATTTTTCGAGAATGCTTCAGAAACCATGGGCTACTGCCAGATTAAATCACTTGGAGCGGGGTACTACAGTATGTTCAATTGACGCATGCGTCGCAGTCTGAATTTTGACAACTAGAGCCGTGGCCCAGTGTGGTGGCTAAATAAAAGACAACAGCCCTCCCAAGATTATCCAGATGATACGTTGTGTTTCAACATAAAAAATACTCAAGAATATCTCCCAGTTAAGGTAATGAGGCGCGTAAAAAGAGAAAAGTATAGACTCTGAGTCGGTGTAAAAACATGTATAAGCCCATCTCACAAACTCCGGGAAACGCCAGACCGATAAAGGATTCCTATCCCATGACCCAAGCAATAAAAATCAAATAATGCCATCAGTATTTCAGGTCCCTCCGTGTGGGAACTGGTGGCGGAGCTGGTTTCTTGGCCCGGTTAACGGGTGGTGGAGGAGGGGGCGCCTTCTTAACGGCCGATGCACTGATAGTACGGGTGAGGCTGCCGTAAGAAGTCGCTGGCGTCAATGTTCGTTCAGGATAGTCTGGGCTGCCGCTTCCGCTGGAGGCCGAGCGGTCATCGAAGATATCATCTGTACGGTTTCCGTATGCCAGGCCGTCTGTTCGCACGCGGCTGAGGGGGAGAGGGGGTGGAGCAGCACCGCCCGATCGCTGTGTAGCTCGCCCCTCTGTAATGGATCGGCCCATTGTAGGTCGTGTTGACTGAGGAGGAGGGGGAGGAGCAGCACGAGTGCCGGGGGAGACGTTTCGCATGCGAGCGGACAGCGGCTCAGGCTCTTGTGCGGGCTCTTCATCCTGCCATGAGCGGGCAGTGCTGACGCGACGAACGGCAGGAGGGCATCGAGTGGAACGGGATCGAGGAGGGGACATTCTGTACTGGGCGGGCTCGCTGTTGCCAGCCGCCAGGTTCTGGCGGGCTCGGCGCAGCTCTTCGGCGCAGCGCTCGTAGTAATCAAGCTCGGCATCGAGGTAGTCGGTGATGGCAGCGACGTTATCGGCTTCGGCCTCCTTGATGTCGACCATGCGCTGGTATACGTCTTCGGTGGACTCTTCGAACTTGGCCTTGTTTGTTCGGACCTCTTCTTCAACACGGAAATCATCGCGGCGGGCCTTTTGCATCTTGGCAGTGCTGGCGTCGTAGGCGAGGCGTCGGTTCTCGAGCTTCTTGCGAGCAGTCTATTTGTCGTTGTTAGCATTTAAGGACATCTCTTGTGGCCATAGAGGTTTTGAAAGCCGACGCACCTGATACTCCTTCATCATTGTGTTGTTTCGCTCCAGGTTCTCAACCCAGGTGGCATTGGCTTGTTCGACAAAACCCTCCTGGAGGACTGCGATGCGCTCATGGGCCTGTCCAAGAGCGACGAGCGAGGTACCGAGCTGAGAGTCGGCCTCGAACTCTTCGCCATGGGCAGCCATGACGCGACCATGGTATCCAATTGGAGCGGCTCGCTCTCTGTCCTCGAGGGCGTCGCAGCGACGGGTCATCCATCGAATGTAGGAGTTGGTCGACTTTTGAAGGCGCTCGGTTCCTGCGATTGGAAGGTCAGTGGGCGAAAGACTATGCAAGCGGGGAGAAAAGACAAACCTTGCTGGCGGAGATTCATTTCCGCCTCGAGCATTCTGAACTCGTCTGTCTGGCCAGACTTGGCCTCGCCGCCCATCTTCTCCCCGGCCCATTGGAAGGCGCGATCGAATTTCTTGGTGATATGCATGATGGATAGTGTCGAAGGAGTCGTAAGTAGGTATCGAGAGGGTATATTAGGAGCAATTGAGTACGGTGTGGATGCTTGTGCAACGATGAACTTTTTTTGTAGAGCGGTGCTGCCAGCAGCAAAGACTTGTCGTATGAAGCGAGGAAACAGAGACAGAGGTGTAACAAGTGTGAGTGAAAGACAATGAGCACAACACAGATGCAAATGGGAGAAAATAAGAGGAGAGGACTGGAGACGAGACAAGGGGGCCGACAAAGGTTTAAGAACAAGGAGAGATGTATAACAGCCGATCCTTGGGAAGGAGGCACATCGAAGGTGGAACAAAACAAGCAAGTCGCAGAAGTACGAGAAGGGCCCTAGTGAACCTTGCCTGCCATTGGCGCTACCCCTTAGGCCGTGTACCTTTAGCCTTCTCACTTTCCCCGCTGTTTACAAGTGGTGGTGGTAACAGTGGTGAGATTGGTGGAGAGCGAACAGCACCTCCCAAAGGGGGTATTGGATGGAGGGCTGGCGGGAAGGGGAAGAGGGAGCCAGCAGGAGGCGGTTTAGCGCTCGGGCTGGGCTGGTGAGGCGACTGGACAGGGGCTGCTGGAATGGTTGCAGTGCTTTGTTCTGCGCGTACCTGATCTTGCTTAATTTAATCGCTGCAGCCGTTGCGTAGGTGGCCGCTGCTAGCTGCACTGCTGTCTGATTGGCAATATTTACTCTGATCACCCGCGATCATCACGGTGCATTGATTGAGGTATCCCGTACTGGCTGCCGCGGACTACGGACTACGGACACATTGCATCTCTGCCGACGGCGAGGACAGACCTGTGCCGTTTCTAGGGGTCTAGGCGCGGAGAAGCAGCTCCCATCTCCATGTTTGCCTGCACTAGATGCACACATGGTGGGTGCATATCCAGCTCCACCTGCGATGCATCCCTGGAGCTAAACAGGACGCATTGCATTTCGCCTGCAATTGAGCCGCCGCCCACTGCTGCCAATCAGCAGCAAAGGTTCCGCTCCAATTGGACAGGCCGGGCCCAGATATGCATACACTTGGGAGGGTGGCTGCTCCTTTGCTCCACGGCAAAGGCAAAAAACGCATGCATCGCCTGGGCTGGCCTGAGGGAGGGGGTTGGGGCCGGCCAGAGAGCAAAAAGGCTCATGTCGACACACTTCCCACGCTTGTTGGGGAGTGGATTCGCCGTGGACTGACTGGGCGTCATGCGCTCCCGTATCGACGCATGTTTCTCAAATTACTGGCGTTTGCTGGCTCGATAGATCACTTTGCACAGCCCTCCTCAGTCCCTGCCGCCTACGTGTGTTTCCGCGTACCCTTATTCGTATTAGACGGCCTTTGCAACTGACTGCCGCACCGTGCCCTGCGGGATCTTCAGCCCCTGAGTTTCGAGCCTGGCGATCCAATTTTCTGGGGTTCCATCCAGGTTCCAGATTTTCAGTGGGTTTCTCGTGAACTTTGGCCCCCTGCAGGGCGCTACAAATGCTAAGCAATGCGCTAGCGAGGACCTATCGCAAATCCCACAGTAGCGGCGGGCGCTGGGCTTGGTGACCTTACTCGATCATGAAGCACTGTCCTGTTCCTCAACTGAGACTGGTCTGGTGTGAGCACAGATTGTTCAAGGTTCCTGTGTTCGGAACCGGGGTTCTTCGCCTCCTCAATGCGTCGAAGTGAATCGCCTTGTCCGACGGCGGGTGGTGGGGGACGATGAGCGCCAGATGTTCCAGAACCGGCCGGCGAGAGCCAATCTCTGCACTGTCAGCGGCAAGTCCCAAACTGCCTGCGCGTCAAAGACCAGCGCTTACCGAGCTTTGAGCGGCTATCTTTTTTTGTTTCTTGCTTGCTGATCTTCAATACGGTTCGTAAAAATAAACATAGCACCAAGAGGCTAGCTGTCGCCTCGTCTCAGCTGTGGCTTGCTCAACCGCCATGCCAGGCATTCGTTTGTAGGGGCGTTGTTGTGACAGCAGATCAGACCTATGCTTGCTGTTCGTACATGGGCTGTTACTGGCTACGGAACGGTAATGCCGCCGAGAATTATTTGTGGCAAGGTACTTGCATTCTCTAATGAACGTGATTCATTATTGATTGAATCCACGTATACGGACTACCAGCTGTCTCTTTCTCCTCTTGTAGTTTGCCATGATTTATATCCACCGTCGAGTAATAACGGCATTTGTTAGTAACAGATGTACACGCAACACTTGGTCCATAGTGTGGCCGTGACATTGTCCCTCCAATCAATAATGCATCATATAGCTGCTCCACTCTACGTGCTCGTTCGCTATTCAATCAAGCTTTTCTGTTTTGCATCACCCTGAAACGAAACACGCCTGGGCCCGTTTCCCACACAGGCTGGGATGGGTGGCCGATACCTCAAACAGCTTGGTGGCACCAGGGGGTCTCAGTACTGGGCCGACTTTTCACAATCCGCAGGATGATGGCATCCATCACGTCGGGGAATGCCATGAACGGGGAAAAGATGGGCGTACTAACTGCACAAATAGCTCATGGTGGCCAACATTATGTTGGGGCAGCCAAGGGTTGTGCTGTCTTCAGTCGATTCTGATTGCGACAACCGCTCACGTGATGATAAGACCGGCGATAGCGATACGGATACGGAGGACTTGCTGAATGGAGGTAGTGTCAAATCACAAACTACGAGGCCGGCAGGGATGAGATGCACAGAATGCTTGTCTTGAATAACCGAGAATCACAACAAGCTCGCGATACCACCACAGAGCGCCCGACAATCTGAGCTAATTTCCTGCTGGTGCTACACCATCCGGATCGATAGCCAGATGCAGTGCAGATAGACCACCAGCAAGGCTCGATGGACGGAAGCATTGGACCCTGAATCCGAAATGTAACCCTCCCAACCTCCTCGTTAGGCTAAGGCCCTCTTCCCCAAACTCGCCTTCCCAAAGAATCTAGATACCCTGGATCAATGGCACGACGGATGCACGATGGGCATGCCCGCCGCTACCCCTCGCTCGCTACGAGCAGCTCGCCCCAACCGTCTGGATCGAGGAGAATTGGCCCTTTTAGTAGGGACATTTCCCACAGTACCCACACTCTTTATCACACGCTGTGAGATCCTTGTCGTCCTCAGCTTCTGACCAATCGTATTCATACGGACTGTCGTATTCGTGATATTCAGAGGCGAGGTAGTGGCCGTCATCGTCGCTGCTGGCAGTCTTCCCATGTTTCTGCCAGTCGCTCCCACCGACCGTCCGTGGATTGGCACGGCTGCCTCCCGATGGCTCGTCAGTCTCGCCGAGCCAATCCTTCCACTTCTGCTTGATCTCATCCGAGAGCGGGTCGCCAGCATCTGCCAGCTTCTCACGCAACTCCAAGGTATCGGATCCGTCGCAAACCAGCTCGAACTCGGATGCATACCGCTCCTTTGACGTGGCCTTGTCAATGACCCAATGCAGGCATCGCATGAACCGCTTCAGGCCCTCTTGGTTCTCCTTCTCCCAGTCGTCGATGCGCTTTCGGGTGTCCAATTCCTGGATGTCGGTGAACACCCCGCGGTTGTGGAACGCGAGGATGAACTTCTCAATCTGTCGGACCCAGAGGCGAGGTATTTCCTCTCCAAGAGTGTCTCGCCCTGCAGCCGACAGTCTGGATCGTGTCTTCAGGTCAAAGATTGCCCCTTGAGCGACCTCCTCTCCACCGTCTTCTACTTGGAGCTCGCCATCTTTGCGACGGTAGGCTTTATCACCGGACCCGACGTTGAATTCACCAAAGAGCTCCCACAGGTCGCCACCAGTCTCCTTTGCTTTGGCCATGACCCTGCGGGTGTCGGAGATGTATCCATCTCCTTCGTAGCGGATCAAGGTTGAGAGACCGCCCAGTTGGTATCGCATGACCCTTTGATGCGACTTGGATTGTTTGACCTCGGGCTCCCAGGTCGTGTACGCGTTTGGGAAGGAATGCCCGTAGCCCTTGATGTCGTCGATTGTCTCGGTGGGCGAGTTTAACCTCCGGACTAGATGGACCGTCGAGCCCACGGTCTGCACGAGCATGCGGAATGGACGGTCGGACTTCATCGCGAACCGCAGGAGATGGCCCAGAGTGCTTCCACAGGCGACCAGCTCGGGCTTTTCCAAGCAGGTCGGCTCCATCTTCATGATGGCCGTGACTTCTGGGTTTAATACATGCTTCGATGCGTATGCTGCATTTGGGTCGACGTAGTATGTTTCTGTGTTGCCGTTGTCTTGGGTGAGCTGCTTCGGAGAATCGAGAGGAGTCCATAGGGCTGGTTTGCCTATGAGACCGGTTAGTATTGGAGTAAGTGATCAAATTGTACAGCGTTCGCTAACCTGGGATCATGATAGTTGGACGGTCCTGGCCAACCCAGTTGTATGAAGCAATCACTGCGGCGTGATCAATTCCAATGGGCCCATCAGGTAGGGACGCGATTGCGTCAGATGACATTTGGTCCCAATTGATTTTCGAAAGCAGCTCGCCCTTTGGAGGAGAAGGCAACGATGAAACATGTGGCCTGGGCCAAGCGCCGATCTGAGAGCGTGAGCCACGGGTTGGGCGACGGCTGCCACTCATGTATCCACGATGGAAGCTCATTATCACGGGAAAAGTAGGAGAAAGTCTTGCTTAGAGGTAGGATAGGTATTGTATTATCGACGGTTGAAGAGACAGCTCAATGAAGGCACTCTAGATTGGTGATGCTTGCGACATTCGAGAGACTGGGGAGGAGGGATATGGAGGCCGATTAAATGGGCAGCAAGCTGACCTGGGTCGTCGCTCGCTCAATCTACCTCGTCAGATGCCTCGTCTGCCTTACCTCTCCTCCCATATATGCCACCTCACATTGCGTTTTCAGATATGCGGGAGGCCCTCCAGCCAGCCACCGAGGCCTCTGCCTCTCACTGGCCCATCGGATGAGGGGTGGCATCAAGGGTGGCGCATTGCGAATGTGCCACTGGCAGTATGTCATCTTTATCATATTACCGAGAGTGCACTGTACTCCTGTTGGCTATACTCAACATACACTTTCATGCCTGCATCGCGCCAATGCAGGATGCCCTCACAATGTGGTGTGCCGTGAGCCCAATGTCTTGAGAACGACGGGTCTCTGATGCAATTCAGGCTGCGTTGTTGCTGCGATCGACCGTTTGCTTCTCTGTGATTCTTTTTCTCTTGCCTCTAGGTAGAATTTTTAATAAATTTGGCCTGATACCTCTTTGATTTCCTTGACCCTTGATTTCTTTGCACGCGATCAAGTGGGTGACATTGAAATTGAGACTCAACCAACAATCTGCTTATTCTCGAATCTGCGACCAGTATTATCAGTTTATTGAGTACTACTCGTACATACTCGAGAGATAATACGATATATATTATTACTATTATATTCTTTACTACTTAATTCCTCGATTTATCTAAGAAAGTGGCCTGTTTATAACCACTCTTCCATTGGACGTCGTATTTCTCCCGTCACCTATTTGGCGATTTAGCAATCTAGCATTGCTTCATTTGTATTCTCTACGCTGCCTCTGCCTCATCCCTTGGGTCTGGTCAAACCACGTCCGAAAAGAGCCAACCCGCCTGTTTTTACCTCATCATGGCTTCTGCGCAGCCTATGTCTCAGCGCGAGGGAAAGCTCATCGAGCGCTTCCAGTCCTGCCTCCACGGGTCCAAGCAGATCGACTCCCTGCAGGACGCCAAGCTCTTCTTCGAGGCCGCCTGCATCAATTGCAAGCAAGATACCCCCGCCAGAACGCTGGAGACGATCGTCTCTGCCAGGAATGGCCTTGAAGCCCTCAGCGCGGCTGCTCGCCGTAGCCTCTCTGTCGACTTCCTCGCCGAGTCTGTGGTCCCGTTCCTCATGCAGTTGCAGGACCCTGCCGTCAGGAACCTTGGGGATGGCCACTTCATTGAGAAGGCCGTCGAATGTCTTCTCATACCGGCGTCTCTTTGGAACGTCTTTGTTGAAGGCTATGATGCCAAGAACCTCAAGGACGACGCTCTGGTTGTTTTCTCCTGGCTTTGTCTTGAGGTCGTCTCCTCGAGGCTTCCTGCCCTGTCTGCCCAGCAAGAAGAGGTCAGGACCTTGATGAAATCATCCCCACTTCGAGATGCCAAGGTACACGAAGCGAGAGTGTATGGGTATCGCATCGAGAAGGTCCTCTCCATTCATGGTGTCAGGGCACCAGTCGCGGCGGAGGCTTATGGGCCGGGTGGCCGCCATGACAATGATTTCCAAGATTTTCACGATATCTCCATCTACCCAACCCATGATGAACTGCTCTCCAAAGAGAAGCCGTATCTGCAGCGCCTTGAGGATGCGTTTCGTTTCTCGGGGGAGGACCGTGCAGGCGCTTACTTGGACTGGTTGTTCCGCCAGCTGCGAGAGGACATGGTCGCAGACCTGAAGGAGGAAACCCAGATCTCCATGGGGAAGAAGAAGGGAAGAGGGCGTCCGCGTCAACTGTTCAGAGATTTGAGTATCAAGAGAGATACGCATGCTGAGACACGGCTTAGAGCTTTCACGGTGACTCTTTACTGCGGTAGCGGCATGGGAATCATCTCAAACATGCCCAAGGGCAAGCGAGAGAAATTCTTGGAGAACCCCAGAGCTGTGTTCCGCCATGATTCGCTGGGGGTTCTATTCTCTCCTTCAGCCATGGTTGCGTTCGGTTCGATGGTTAAACTGAATCATTCTATGCTCAACGGAGAGCCAGTGTTTGGATTGCAACTCAAAGATAAGGTCGCCTTGAAAAATACAATGGCGATGCTTCTCGGGCCTCAGAGAGATCAACTGGCTCTGGCAATCGTCGATTCCGCGACATTTGCATATGAGCCGATCTTGCGGCGTCTGCAGTCAATGAATGAGTTGCCCTTGGAAGAGCCTTTGCTTATGCGAGGATTCCACCAGACGCCTCTTGAGCACTCTGGCAAGTTTAATGTGCTAATCGAACTCTTGAAAAAGCGTTATGATGAATCGGGCGAAATCACTTTCGGCCCCAAGCTCATGATTGGGAAAAAGCCCTTGCGCCTCCAAGGCGCGCAGCTAAAGTCATTTATCAACGGCCTCTCGAACCCCGTAGCCCAGATTCAGGGGCCTCCAGGGACGGGAAAGAGTTTCATCGGAGCCCTCATAGGACTTTTCCTGACTCGCTTCACCTCACAGAGGATTCTTGTGCTCAGCTATACCAACCACGCGCTGGACCAATTCATTACTGATTTGGTTGATATTGGCGTGAACGAAAAAGACATAGTCCGTCTAGGTTCCAAAGCAGCACCGGGAATGGAAGCCATGAAACTGGAAAGTCGGACGAAAGATCCCAGATATTGGTGCTCAAATGGTGTTAGTCACCAAATCAAGAGTCTAAGGTCCGAGGAAGAGTTGGTCAAGGGTCATATTACGGAACTGGTGCAAAAGCTAGAGAGATTCCGTCCAACCACAACGAAGATCCTGGACTGGCTTGAACTCTCGGAGAATTATGGATCGTACTTTACTGCATTTTCGCCCTTATCCACCGAAGATGGGTTCGTACTCCAGCGTCATAAGGATTATGGTACAGCCGAGCGGATCTATGATAATTGGAGGCGAGGAAAGGGCCCTTCACCTCAATATCTTTCCCAACTACCCGAGTATTCTCAGGCAATATTCAAAATGGAACACAACAAGCGTCAAGAGCTTGACAGGATATGGTGTCAAGAGGCGCGGCAGGAGGATATGGAGGACCTCTGCAGTAGGCACGAAGAGCTCCATCGAATACAGAACCAGTTGAGCAGACTCTTTGATGAAAGTAAGAGGAACGTCTTACAGTCGACAAGAATCATTTGTTGTACCACAACTGGGGCGTCCATGTATCAGTCTAACATCAAGACAGCGCAACCTGACGTTGTGCTTATTGAGGAGGCCGGGGAGATCCTAGAAGCCCACGTCATTGCCGCATGCAGCTCGTCCGTGAAGCAGTTAATCCTCATTGGAGATCACAAGCAGCTTCGACCCAAGGTCAATAGCTACGAGCTTTCTGTTGAGAAAGGCGAAGGTTTCGACCTCAACAAGTCATTGTTCGAGCGGCGTATCGAACATGGACATGAATTTACCGTCCTGGAGGAGCAGCACCGCAGCCATCCAGACATTTCACACTTTTCTCGCCTTCTTTCTTACCCGACCTTGGTTGACGCTCCCAAGGTGGCTGATAGGCCGCCAGTCAGGGGATTGCAACATCGAGTGGTATTTGTTCATCATGAGCACCCCGAACAAGAACTGGCAGACTTCACCGAACTTCGCGATCCTTCCGCAGGGAATAGCAAGAGAAATCCATTCGAGGTCGAGATGGTGCTTAGAACAATCAAATATCTTAGCCAGCAGGGCTACAAGACTGAGAACATGGTTGTCCTGACGCCATACTTGGGCCAGCTGTCACTGATGAAATCGGAGCTTAGCTCAAGGACTCAAATCGACCCCCTTCTCAACGATCTGGATTCGTATGAACTCATCCGCGCTGGGCTGATGACCAACGTCTCTGCCAATGTACAAAAGGCAGGAGTAAGACTCTCTACTATTGGTATGCACTCCCTTGAGATACAAACATTTCGCAGCAGATTCAGTCGCTAACCTTTGTCACCGGTAGATAATTATCAAGGCGAAGAAAGTGATATCGTCATTGCCTCGCTGACTCGCAGCAATGCCTCCGGAGACATCGGGTTCCTTTGCGCTCGGGAACGTCTTGTCGTGCTCATGTCCCGAGCACGCGAGGGGATTATCCTCTTCGGGAATATGCACACCTTCATGAAGAGCAAAAGAGGCAAGGAGCTCTGGACCCAGTACTTTGACATCCTCCGAGAGAAAAAGTGGTTGGTTGAAGGGCTGCCCATACGCTGCGAGCAGCATCCCGACAGGAAGCAGGAGGTCAAAACACCGGAGGATTTTGATCGATATTGCCCGGATGGTGGGTGTGGGCAGAGGTGGTAAGTTAAAAGGTATGATCATATAGAGAACTCCAGAAGGCTAACAACTCTGGCAGCGGGGCGATGCTTTCTTGCGGGAAACATGCTTGTCAAAGGTGTTGCCATTTTCTCATTGACCACTCGAAGACGCCCTGCTTTCGCGAGAATGAGGAACTATGTGAAAGGGGACACAAAATCAAAACTCGGTGCGGAACTACCGCTCGAAAGAGTAGGTGTAATTTGTGTGTCAAACAAGACGAAGATATCGCACGCAGGGCGAAACGCGATTTTGAGATGGAGAAGAAGCGAATGGAGAGGCAACAGGAATATGCAGCCCGGACGCTAAAGCTTGATGACGAAATTGACGAACAGCGTCGGGCAATACGTTATGATGCTGAAGAAGCACAAGAAGCTGCAGATCTGAAAAAGAAAGAGGCGACCCTGAAGGAGCTCGAGGCTAGAAGAAAGAGAGCACAGGAACTTGCCAAGCGGAAAGACCAAGAAGCAAGGAC